GGGGCGCGGGGGGCGACGCGGCTCTGGTTCTCGGCGCTGCGGAGCCGGGGCCCGAGCCTCGCGGCCATGGTGAGTTCCGGGGGCCCGCGGTGCGGGAGGAGGGCGGGGCTCCGTGGCGCCGGCTGAGGGGCGGGAGGGACCCGGCAGGTCCCGAAGTGAGCCCGGCCTTCGGCCTGGGACTCTGAGGAGCCACGTTTGGACACCGGGCAGTTGCCCGAGGCGCTGGCCGGAGACAAGGGTGTGCGCAGCATCTTCCGGGTTCCCTTGGCTTAAAAGTCCGGTCGTAGTCTACGAAATTGCCAACCGAAAAACAAACGAGGACGAGTTTTATTAAAAAAATAAAAAAGTAAATATGAAAAGTGATTATAAAAATATTTGATGCTTAAGTTCACTTGATGTGACTGGAGGTGCTGTTCGGTCCTCTAGATTGTACGCTCGGTGAGAGCAGGAATCGTGTCCGTCGCGGGGCGCTCGCTGTAAACTGGATGACTGAATGCTGAGTTAACTCATTTGTTTTGGTGTTAATTTTTTGGAGGAATTATTAATAAACTATCCTTTTTTGGTGACACATCTGTTCTTTCCTCTTCCGAGGGGCGTTCCGTCAGTTTTTCTGCTTTAGAAATCAATATGTTGGGGTAAAGGAACTTGAAGGAAAGTTTTAACATGCAGCGCCACCTAGTGGGGAAATGTTGCATTAAATGCACCGTTTCATTTTCTCAAGTTGCTTGTTAGAGTCCATTTGGCAGTTTGAAATTCTTTAATAGAGGAAATTTAAAATAGTTCGATGAAGGAGGAAGATAAACACACTGCTTCGTGGCCATTAAGGTCAGAACACAAGTTGAGTGCTTACTGTCACCTAGGTGTGTCCCGAGGCATGCTGGTGCTGGTGCTCAAGTAAAATTATGGGGTTTGGGGAGGAATGAATAAACAGACATGATGTGAGCGGCTGCCACGTGCCGGGCTCTATGCTGAGTGCCTTCACATTCAAGATCTCTTTAATTTAAGCCTTTCAGAAAATCTCGGCGGGTAGGTACTGTAATACCTCCACTACAGATGTGAGGAGGCTCAGTGATTTTTCAGCATCCCACGGCTAAAAGTAACAAAGCTAGGTCTTGAATCATCTTTACTCTCTCCAAATCCTATGCTTTTCCCTTTCCCAACCCCCAACTCCCACAGGAAAAAAAGCCCACCGCAAAGGGTTCTGCAGAGGGTGTGTCCCCAAGGGGACAATTTGTGTTATGTGTCCATTTCACAGTGCTGGACACAATCCCTCTTTCTGGGCAAATGTCTTTGGTGAGCACAGAGTGACTTCACTGGGGATGTGGATGGCAGAGAATGCAGGGGAAAACAGCTCAGCACGTTCCACAGACTCCAGGTGACTGCTGCATTACCCACAGCACAGTTAATAGTTTTGTTTGTAGCTGCTCAATGTGGACACAGATAATTCCATTTCTTTTCCAAAATACTATGAATTGACTTAAAATATTTGTGTTAAATGAGAATTTTAGATTATTTCCTATAGTGGGTCTTTGTGTGAAAATTTTCATAATTGTCATTGTAAAACTAATGAATAGATATTTTGTTTCTTAATAGTAAATGGTTTTTGATAACAAGCCTTTGATATTTTTATTTAATTAAGAGATATTGTCATTTTTCTCTTTTCTTAGTTGTGGGGAAGGGTAGCTGACCTAGCAAGGAAGAGAAACGAGAAAATTGGTTCATTATCATCTTTTTTTCCTCTTCATAGAATAAGTTGTCTTAAAGTAAGCTTGCTTACTTTGTGCTCTTAATTACATTGATGTTAGTGATACAAAGTTTTAGGATTTCTGAGGTGGGAATGAGTTGTGGTTTCATGGCAGAGGATTCAGCTCAGCCCCCGCTGGCCCTTTGATGAGAAGCCCTCAGGTTAGTTTATTCTCTGGGTGACAGTCCCTCTCTCACCTGAGCTTACAGTATCCTGCAAATAGGGACGGCAGCAGGTATTGGTTGGCATTTATGCTGCAATGAGAACGAAGTTCTTCTGACTTTTACTAGAGTGTCCTTCTCTCTCTGACCGTGATGTTTAGAGTTCTTTCAGGTCAAAAACAAATAGTACAGGGGGCCGGCCCAGTGCGCAAGCAGTTAAGTGGGCGCGCTCCGCTGCGGCGGCCCAGGGTTCGCTGGTTCGGATCCCGGGCGCGCACCGACTTACCGCTTGTCAAGCCACGCTGTGGCGGTGTCCCATGTAGAGTGGAGGAAGATGGGCACGGATGTTAGCCCAGGGCCAGTCTTCCTCAGCAAAAGAAGAAAAGAGGAGGATTGGCAGATGTTAGCACAGGGCTGATCTTCCTCATACACACACGCAAAAAACACAAATAGCATGGGAAGTGTGGGCCTGTTAACCAACAGAACTCTGGATTTGTGAATTTCATCACCAGAGTGAGTAGGAACAAGGTGCACAGTGCACACAAGTGCTCTGGCCACACTGTGGAGGGAGTTTGTCTTACTGGTACTCTGATAAAACTCACTCCACTAAGGCAGGGACTTTTTACCTGTAGTCCAGCGAGTCTGTGGACCCCCCAGAAGTTATTATACAAAATCCTACGTAAATTCCCTTCTGGGGCCTATTTTTCATCAGATCTGAAAGGAAATAGTGAACCCAGATAGTTAAGACTCTTGTGAGTAAGCAGTGAAGGCCACTGAGGTGGTGTAGGACCATCCAAAGAGCAGTACACCGGGAGTTTAGAGCCCTGAGTTCTAATCCTGGTCCTGCCAGTGGACTTGCAGGGTTTCCTTGGGTGGCTGTGTTTACCTCAGTTTCTGAAGTCCTGGAATGCTGGCCATTGGTGATGGTCATTGGTAAGATGGCCAGTGGTAATGGTTGATCTCATTTGTATGTGTAATAAACCAGAGAAGGTGATTGTGAAGTTTGAGGCAGCGGTAAGGGTTGGTGAGACAACATACCATGGAGGCAGCTTATTTTGTACAGAGCTAGCCTTGTTTTGGTCTTTTTTTTTCCCGAGAACTTTGTATTTTGAGAACAAAGGAACCAAAGATGGTTAGAAATTGTTGCCCCTTAAGATTTTTCTCTACATCTATCTCTACATCAGGTAAAGAACTATACATTTATTTGAGTTTAACTGAATCTCTCCAGCTCACAAATATGTTCTTTTCATAGTCAGCAGATGCTCACCGGTTGACAGCAGAAGAGAGGAACCAAGTTATACTTGATCTTAAAGCAGCAGGATGGTCGGAATTAAGTGAGAGAGATGCCATCTACAAAGAGTTCACCTTCAAAAACTTTAATCAGGTAATTATTACATATTATTGCTAATGCCATGATCTATTTTTGTCACCTTAGGCTGTAACTCTTTTTTTATTTTTTTTTTTAAAGATTTTATTTATTCAGTTTTTTCCCCCCAAAGCCCCAGTAGATAGTTGTATGTCATAGGTTCACACCCCTCCAGCTGCTGTACGTGGGACCCGGCCTCGCGTTGGACGGGGAAGTGGTGCCTCGTGGCGCTCCCGGGATCCGAACCCGGGCCGCCAGCATCAGAGCGCGCGCACTTAACCGCTAAGCCACGGAGCCGGCCCTGTAACTCTTTCTAATACTACTGGTTGTCTGGTCACATGTGGATCCAGGATCCAAACCATCTCTTCCTTAGGAATTCAATGATAGTTACTCCGTCCTTGTTGACAGGTGCTACTGCCCAGCTGGGTGATTTCTCAGCTCGGGGGAAGGGGTGGTTTGTGTCATTTGGAAAATCAAATTCTGAAACCACTGTTGCTTTGATTTTAGTTTCCTTTCAAATTTTAAATAACATTCAAAGAGAGAGTGAGCTTTTTGTGTTGATCAGAAGGGGGCATGAATAAAAAGGGTTGAGAAACATACACCTGCTTGACTGATTTCCCCTACTTTTCTTAGATGGTTGTCAAGTTTTCTTTCTCCCTGTAGTTGTATTTCTATCTCCAAATCATCTCCCAAGCTGCACCCTCTTCTCTGATTGGCTCATTTCCCCAAGCCCAATAGCCAGCCCTGGAAGCTTTTCTCAAAAGCTGGCCTCCCCCTTGGAAACTCAGCCTTAGCAAGGTAGCTGATCCTTTAGAGCCCCACCCTGTTTAGAGAGTCATCTCCCATGACTTACCCTTCAGTTCTTACTCCATTGCATTTATATAAGGTCAGTGCTTTTGACTATTTCATGTTTGTTCAGTTAGCTTGGTAATCCTCTGGACAGATTTATTGTTTTTATTTATATTAGGTGTCAGCATCTAGAAGGCAGAGACCATGTTTGCTTAAATAACTCTCTATTGTACCTAACACAGTTCTGGGTACAAACAGGCATTTGATAAATGCAGACATTGATTACAGTGTTTGCTAGTTTCTGGAAGGGTGTGTGAGGACCAGATTTCCACCAGAGAAACTTTCGACATGTTTTCCTAGTAAATGCCATTGGCTCCACTGAGCGGCATGCCCTATTCTGCTCTCCATCCATCTGGCTGCCAGCCTTCTGCTGTGACGCTCCAGCAGAAAGGTTTCTGAGGAAACCTTGACCAAGCCGACTCCCTGTCCCTGCTGCCCCACATGCTTGACAGCTCTTGTCAGGGGCTTAGCACTCTGTGGCTGGTGGCAGGGAATCCCATTGGTACAGTAAGCTTGTGCATAAGCTCTAGGTAGCATTTTCCAAGCTTATTAAAATTCTTACATGTGTACAGCCTGACTTCTTTAAGCCTGGGCTAATTTATTGGGCTGGAACATGTGGCTTAAAGTACTTGAGTAGTGTTGCCTTAGGCTCTGCCCATGAGTCAGTCATTTAGCCCCACTCTAACCTTGTGCTTGGGGTGACTTTCGGAAATGGGAGGGAAAGGAAGCTGTGCAGGGCACCCTTGATTAATTATAACATTATTCACTGGGACATTTAATTAACTTGACATTTTTTTTTTTTTTCTTTCACCCGGCTTTTAGGAGAAAGAGACAGGTGATAAGAAAATCAGCGGATATCAGGGAATGTATTCAGAGAACCAGCACTGAGATTATATCCTGGGGTCAGTTTTCCAGCCAGGCTCCTATGACTTCTGCCTGTACAATGGCCTGTGATGGCAACTGATGTCATGACAGCTGTCTTCCCATCATCCAGAGACCACCAGGAACATACCAATAGTTGAACAAGCTGGGCTTATTGTTTGTCGCAGCAAATGAGAATGCACACCGTAGGGAACTGTGGGGCATCTCAGGAAGACAGTGTTAGAAGGATTTTTTATAGGATCCGGGCTTGTGTTAGTAATTTTGGAGAGTTTTTAAGGAATTAGGGCCTTGGTCTGGATTGGGTGCTGTCAGAAAATGAGTAATTCTATAATTCAGTATTTTAATAAATATTACCTATAGGGAGAAACAGACTAAAGTGAAGCCAAAGCTGAAATTGGTAAAGAAGCAATAATCGCCCATTAGCCAGGAGAGGAGGGTGTTTAGTATTTTATGTTTTGGACAATGTTCATGTTTTGTCTGTGTTTTGCTGTCATTACAAGTGGTCTTATTTTTATGTTAATCCATTATGGTCACAGAGTGGCCTTGTCTATTGTTTATGTCTAACACCAAGGCCCAGGTGTGAGTGCCAGGCTAGCTCCTAGCAACACCAAGGCCCTGTTGGCAGTCCCAGGCCAGCTCCCAGGTGTCAGGGGCTACTTGTCTCTTTCTTACAACTGATATTTAGAGTGGTGACCCTCTGGCAGCGACAGAGCCTTACTTATCTTTCATTTAGGGCAGAAAGTCTGTTGTTTTTAATTGTAAAACAATAATATAAAACATTAAAATATGATAGTGTAAATAAAGAAAAATTTTCCCATTGTAACTACTTTCATCTTTTTTTTTCTATTCTCTTCTAGTCTTTCTCCATAGGTATAGTTTATTCACAATGTGGTGATTGTGCATGCAGTTAAATTTTTAAAAATTAATTTTTATTGTAAAAGTAATATTCATTAATTCAACAAATATTAAGCGTCTTTTCTGTGCCAGTTAGTATTCTAAGCTCATGTAGCTCCCCTTCTAGTGGTAAAGATAGACAATAAACAAATGAATAGATAATATAATTTCGGGTAGTGTTAAGTGCCATGAAGAAGAATAAAGTAGGATATTGGAATGGAGAGTGATGGAGGGGTGAGTGCACTGTTTAAGATGGATCGGTCTGGAAAGGCCTCACTGGGGAGGGGACTTCTGAGGCCTGAATAACGTGAAGGAGCTCAGCATGTGAAGACCCAAAGGGAGAACATTCCAGGAGGAGAGAACAGCAAGTACAATATTCCTGGGCAGGAATGATCTTGGCATGATTGAGAAAGAGCCAGAAGGCCAATGTCCTGGAGTGGTCAGGAAGGAGATGAGACTGTAGAAGATGAGGCTGAAGAGAGGGAGGGACCAGAGCACTAGAGCCTTGTGGGCATGGTGAGGAGTTTGGATTTTGTTCTTTGAAGGAAAGCTATTGGAGGATTTCAAGCAGAGAAGTGTCATGATTTGGTTTATGTTCTAAAAAGATCACCCAGGCTGGTCTACTGTGAATCGATGGTAGGAGGGTAAGAGTGGAAGCAGGCAGATTGTGTAGGATGCTGTTGGAGTAGGCTAGTCCAGAGATTATGGGAGACTATGGAAGTAGCAGTAGAGTGGAGAGAAATGTAGGATTCCTTATATATTTTGAAGATAAAACAGTCAAGACTTGCTGTTAGATTGGGTGTGGGGGAAGGGGAAGGTCAAAGATGATCCCAAGGTTTTGGTTCAAGCTATAGGGTGAGGGGTGTTACCATTGGTGTCATTTACTGAGCTGGGGAAGATGGGGTGGAGGGTGGGGTAGAGAATTAAGAATCCTGTTTTGGACATGTCAAGTTTGAGATACACTCAAGTGGTGATACCAGGTCAGCAGTTGGATATGTGAGGTTGGAGCTCAGCTGGAGATATCAGTTTGAGAGTTGTCAGAGGGGATAATTGTGAGAGCACAGTCTGGGTCGTCAAGAGAGTGCAGGATAGAATGGACAGATGGAGGCGTGGTATGTCCATTGTAATAGGAAAGAAGGTCGAGTATATGCATACAGATGCAGGGAGGTAGCTACATTTGTCCTGGGAAGAGTAGATAATTCTCTTCTGATTGCTTCTATTGTTTTAGTGAAGTCATCAATTGAGAAAGAGTGGAGATGGAGGGAGGAATGTTGGAGATCTGGAAAGAGAGGAAAAGGAGTGGAATAGTCATCTTGGAGACTGGGACTGAGACAGTGAACTAACCAGAGAACATGGCCGGTTGCTGAGCCGTTCTCAGTGTCACTGGAGATTTATGGTCAAACATTTGAAGTGAGGATTTTGTGTGTTTTGTCCAGCTGTGTCCGGCTCCTTGGGCACAGGCTTGAAGTAGCTGCAGAGTTGGGCTTAACAAGGGCTGAACTTTTGCCAGATGAGTGCAGTGGAGGAACAGAGGGGCAAGGGAAATAAGGTGCGCAAGGGAGGGATTAAAACATTGGACCATGGAGTGTAAGCTGGTGAGGAGGGAAGTGCAGCTGTGATGTGGGAGATGGAGAATGAAGAGGTGGGAGTGTCAGTTAATATAAACTTTTGGAGAGCAATTGGGCAGTGTCTGTCAACTTTTAAAATGCACATACCCGTGGTCCTAATCTAGAAATTTATCTTCTAGATATAGTCCTGAATGTATGCAAAATGGATTTGTGAAGCTGTCCAGGATAGCCCTTTGGGGCTGCAGTTTTTATTGTGAGCAGGCATTTGCAGGTGTGCGTGCACACCTTGGTAAGACCTCGCTGCAACCCTGCCCTTAGCGGAAGTTAGAGAGACCCTCTGAGCTCCGTGTGCTCCTGGCAGTGGCAGTGCCTCTCCTGGCCTCAACTCTACAAACTGGAGGGAGCCACTGTCAGAACTGGTACCCTCTCTCCCTTAAACGAGTTCATCCCACGCTGGGTGTTAGTATATATTTTTTTCAATCTTTGATGAACATGTAGGTAAAAAATATATTCTGTTTTGTTCGCTCAACAGGTATGAACATTCTTCAATTCTTTACATAGTCTTTTCATTTTACTTAAATCATCAGGAGTAAGATTACACTTGGTTTGCTGTTACAGATTTTAAATGGTTTGCTTATGTGGAGTGTGTGAAATAGTATCACAAGTTTGCTTTAGAGTTCATTTCTTTTATTACTATAGAAAGTGAACCATACATTTTAGAAACATTTTCAGTGACCCTGGATGAAAAACCTATTTCTCAAAGTTTTGGTTATTTAGGTTTTACTATAATAATAAATAGCCAGCAAAATACATTTGAAATTTTTT